TAATGACTGGTACATATTGCACCTAATCGATTGTGCTACAAGTGGCAACTAACTGTGGTATATCACCCGAAACTCGACAGGTAGCCTGGTGCCATTTCCCAGCCAGAGTTGATATCGCATGGCCTCGGCCGTGGTAGCTGCTCACAGATGATTCTGCTCTCAATGTGCCAGGGGCAATTGGTGGCCACCACGGCGGAGTGCCAGGCCAGGGTCAGGGTTAGGGCATGAACTCGTTAGTGCAACTATGCTGGCATATTGCTAGGCTACCGTCGTGCTGGTTCTGATGACGAAGATGATGAGGAATCATCTGGGGATAGTGATTTGGCTTTTGAGCTCTTGGATGACTACTTGAGTGGGGCCTCTTGCCTGGAATCTGATTAGGATGTCGGAGAATTTGTGTGATTGCAGTGGTTGCTTGAAGTGGTGCTCAGGCTACAACAGCCAAACGAACTTGTAAGATTGCCTCTATGATATGTCGTGCACGAAAACGAGCAGGACGATTCGGCACTGCAGCTAAATTATGAGGCCGAACCCCTACCACATCCACTTTGTTGTGGTATAGACATGAACCAGAAATCCGAGGCCGTGGAGCCGATCTCCTCTACAAAATTGCACGCGCTGGACAATCCAAGACCAATGCAACTCGCAATCTCATGTCCGTCATCAATCCACACAATGTGATGCTCCCGGTACCCATTGATGTTGTGAAGATCAGCATCTGCAAAAAGCGACCCACGACCAGGACCCTGGATGTTTGGTGGCCGATCCTCAAGATGTCTGCATGGATCTCAACCCTCCTGTCTTGCCGTCCCCAAGCCTTGCTCTGTGGTTTTCGCCCTGAAGACTCTGAATGGCGCGATATCTTTTCGACTTTCTGGTCCTATTACGAGGAGGCCAACCCCGGCCACGAGTTGTTCGCTGACAAGTCCAAGGATCGAGCTTTCTGCTTGCCGTACATGCTGCACGGCGATGAGGGAAGGGGCCTGAGGAACAAGCCGCTGTGGATTGAAAGTTTTCAACCTGTGATAGGGCATAAGGGGGGTGCTTACACAAACGAGGCCGGGCACCCTGGATTCTGATCCATGGAAATGGGTTGTCCGTTTCTATATATGTATGGAATATTTAGTGCTCTAGTTAGAGTTCTAAATTACATATATCATAGTTTTCTTTTCTAGTTGTCAATAAGGCATTCGATGCAGACCCGGTTCCTTTATGCCGTTATTTCATCCCTGCTGTTTGCCGGAGAGAAAACCTGCGACCAGCTCCACGAAGCCTTTGCTGAGGATGCTGCGATGCTCTTTAGGGATGGTGTGGAGGTCTTTTGGCTGTTGTTTTATAGCTGGGTAAAATAGAAGGGATTATGCTATATGGTCCATAAGGTTTGTGCTCACTTTCTGGCTTAGAAGCATTACAGAATCTTGTATGCAATCAAATCATGTAACTTACAATTACTGCTAGAGTGGTTTTTGTCAGTTTATCAGTGGCCTCAGCCCAGATGAACAACGGCCAACGGCTGTATCCGATATGTGTCGGAGTGAAGGGCGACCAGGTGTTCCTTCGCAAAGTCTCCAAGCTGCACATTCTTTGTTTGCTATCCTGTTATGCAGCATGAGAGATAGTTTAAAGTTGTCCTGGCAACAAAGGCTTTCCATATGCGAGTCGGTTTCAACTGCAAAGAGAAATGCCATCTATGTATGGGACAGGACAGGGTTATACCCGTCTCATAGTGGTGCCTGCTGCTTTGTGGGATTGTCAGGACTGGGACAACACGAGTCTCGATGCTGAATGGAGGACATCCATGCCCCGAACCACAAGCCCCTTCAATGCTGTTCCGATACCCTTAATGGGTGTACCGGGGATAACGCGGGCTGAGGATGCTTTTCCGGACTCAGCACATGTATTCCATATCAAAGGGATCGGGCAAGACTTTGCAGCTAGCTGTGTTGTGCTCCTAGCTAATCTCGGCGCCTGGCCGGCCCGCAGCTTGGATGCAAAGTTGAGCATCGGGTACAAGGCCTTCCGTGAGTGGTGTCATGCTGAAAAGAAAACTACTTCGATCGATGGTTTCAGCAAACTCACCTTCGACATGTCCTCGCATCTTGTCAGCAGTGTTTCTAGAGAATGCCAATATGAGCTAGTTGGGCCCACAATGTGCATCCTATGGGTACATCTGAGGAACAACGACTATCCCTGCACGCACGGTGGAAAGGGTGCTGATACTGCGATTCTATGTTCCTGGCTGGAGCATTACCTCGAAACCACACTTGTGCCTAAGCATCATATGTACTACTTTCTTTATTCTGTGCCTCTAATTAGGAACCCCGTAAACCCTGTAGACTACCAAATCAAACCTATAGACTACATGTGCAGGATTGCAGCAGAACCGAGCTGGCAGTGATGAAGTATGCGGTGCAATGTGTCAACAAATTCTTTCGCATGCTGCGATCTCACGGTGTTTGGATCCCCAATGCGCATGCACAAGAAATCGCCCAGTATGGGCAAGACTGGGCAGAGCCGTGTCTGCAGATCAGCATGTTGTCTACATGGCTCCACATTGATAGCCATTGATAACTATGATGGCAGGACGGCTACCTCAAGCTGGTATCAATTGCTGACGGCCACGGATGGGGTCTGTACTACATACGGACCAAGCTGCACCAGTATATGCACCTAGTTGTAAACCTCCAGTCCCCCAGCTCGCACGTCCTCAACCCGATCGGCGACTTGATTGCATTTAGATGTTGCAAAGCAGCTAGTGGCTTTTTGGGTGGCAAGGGTGTGGATGAGCATCCCAGGATACAGCTGTTGGTCGGACGAAGATCTGATTGGAAAGGTTGCCAGAACCGGCAGATCTTGCCATCCCCTGACCCATGGTCTACGAACTCTACAAAAGTGCTTGGGGATGTATAGGAAAGCCCTGCACAGCATGTAGAACTGCCGGCCTGCCGGAACGAAGATGCCGAGCTCGCTGGTGCCACAAAGGTCGTCGTCCAGGGGGTTGCATCACCCAATCACCAACCATACACAGCATCTGCTGCTAGGATATATCCCAGGAACCCCTCGACATGAAAAGCCCCAAAGCGCCAAGAAACTTACAAAAGCGCCTAAATCGACAAGGAAACTTGCAAACGACAACCGAAAGCTAGCGAAAGCAAACGAGAAGAATATTCCTTGCAAAGGAATCTGCAGGTA